TCGATCTGCCTGTTCTGCTCCCCACTCTGTCTCTGGTGAATCCTCTCACCCTCCGCATCTCCGGCCTGTACCCCAGTTCCATATGAATAAATAAATCTTTAAAAAAAAATCTGAACATACATTTTTCCAAATATATACAAGTGGCCAATTAGCACATGAAAAGATACTTAACATCTGTTCTATTTTTTCAATACTTTTGTAACAAATTACCACACATTTACTGGCTTAAAACAGAACAAATTGTGCGGCTTCGGTAGCACATATACTAAAATTGGAATAATACAGAGAAAATCAGCAATGATCCTGCTCAAGGATGACAGGAAAGTTTGTGAAGTATTCCATGTTTTTAGGAAAAATAAAATAAAGTAAACCAAATTTTATTATCTTGCAGCCTGTATGGCAGGCATCATATTGGCCTAATATCAACATATCAGCAGGGTTGCATTCCTTTTGGAATCTCTAGGGTGAATCTCTTTCCTGGCATTTTTCAGCTTCTAGAGGTTGCCCACATTCCCTGACTTGTGGTTCCCTTCCTCCATCTTCTTCTTCTTCTTTTTTTTTTTTTTTAAAGAATTCTTTATTTGTGCATATAGAACTGGGGTACAGGCCAGAGGCTCAGGGGCGGTGAGAGGCTTCACCAGAGACAGAGTGGGGAACAGAACAGGCAGATCGAGGAAGTACACTGCTGAGGGGAGCAGCGGGAGGGTCAGGAGAGGTCTGCCACGCCATGTGGTCACTTCCTGGGCAGGCGGGATCGAACTCATGCGGAAGTGGCTTTAGATTCTCAGTGCTGTGCTTTAACCCGCTGCGCCACCAGGGAGGGCCTCCTCCATCTTCTTTTTTAAAGATTTATTTATTTATTTATGCATACAGAACTGGGTTACAGACACGGTGAGAGGATTCACCAGAGACAGAGTGGGGAGCAGAACAGGCAAACTGACAAGGACACTGCTGAGAGGAGCAGTGGGAGAGACAGGAGAGGTTTGCTGCGCCATGTGGGTCAGCTCTGGGGAGGGAGATCAGGATGGAGCTTGCAATGAGGTGGCTGTGCCACCAGGGACGGCCCCCTTCTTCCATGTTGAAGTGCAGCATCATCAAATCTTTCTTTCTTACCTCTACTTCCATCTACTCTCCTGAGCCCCCATTCATTTTTAAGAAACCCCTTTGATCCCATTGTACTCTCCATGATCTGCGGTAATTTTTAACTATAATTATTAATTATCCCAGATTATTGGAATTATTCTCACCCCAAAATCCTTAATTTGTTCACATCCATGAAGTGTCTATTGCCATATAAGCTAACATCACAGGTTATGAGTATTAGGAGGTTGATATCTTTGGAAGCCCATTATTCTGCCTAATCAAAACCAGTTATCTTTTAGGGAACTGCAAATCAAAATCACAAGGAGATGTAAGCCCATAAACAATAGGATTTTATAATTAAGAAGACGGACAATAAGAAGTGTTGGAGAGGATGTGGAGAAAATGGAAGACTCAGACATTGCAGGTGATATTGTAAAAGGGGGCAATGACTTTGGAACACAGGTGGATAGTTCCTTAAAAGACTAAAGTTCAAAATTCCACATGACCCAACAATTATATTTCTATGGACACACCCAAGACAAATTAACACACACCTCATTCAAAAATTTGCACATAAATTTTGTATAGGAGCATTATTTATAATGGTCCAAAAGAGAAAAAAAAACCCTAATATCCACATACTGATGAATAGATAAATATTCATGCAGTAGAATATTAGTTATCAATAAAAAGGAAAGAGGTACTGGCATATGCTAACACATAGGACCTTGAAAACATTACTAGTGAAGGAAGTCAGTCACAAAAATATTACATATTATTAAATTTTAGAAAATGAAAATATGTACATTTGCAGAGACAAAGTATGTTAGTGGTTCCATAAACTGGCAGGGAGAAGCTGGAGAATGCAGCCTGACTGCTAAAGGTTATCAGGTTTCTTCCAGGAAGTTAAACATAGTACAAAGTTACATTGGAATGAATGGTTACACAACTCCATGAATATACTAAAAACAACTGCAGCATACATTAATTGGGTAAACTGTATAACACTTCAATTAGACACACTATCTCAATGCATGTGTTAGTAAGTTACTAAAATGTTCCAATACAGTACCTATTCATGATTTCCTGTCAAACAAGTCATGTTGCTACAAACTTTAAAAGTTAGAAACCGAAAGTTATCACATGGAAGTAAAGACTAAGCTATTCTGACATTTTCGGTTCTGATTTTAAATTCATCAATATTGAAAGGTAAATATGTTACTTTTACATTCAAGTGGCTAAGCTTTTCTGAGATAAAAGCCACATAAAAGTTATGGAAGATGGTAACAAGAGTCAGGTTTGAAACCAGACTAGCTGACACCAGAGTTTGGGTTCTACCCAATTCTCCATAGGGACTAAAAATTTGTGGCATAGTCTCATCCTGATCCTCTCTACTGCTTTTCTACAACTCCATGCCTCTCCACCATCCTCACCCGCAATCTTTGACTCCAATGTTTAGAGGACTCCCCCAAGGCAGTCTCCAGTTCTATGCACTGTTCAAATTCCAAAAAAGTATTGAGTACACCTTACTGTATTTGCCATATTAGGAACTCCGCGTGGGAGGTAAGCCAGTCTTGGAGTAGGCAACCATCCATGCGCTATTATTCTTACAGTATAGCAAGCTTACTTTATGGGAAGGGAGAGGCTAAGAAAGTGGTCAGCAACTCTCCATAGAAAATACATAGGCTCTACCTTCTAAATTAATACACCAGATTACTTTGTTGAACTCATGACCCACCTCTCACACTATTTACCCAGGGAATTTACACTTCAAGTAATAATCCCAGCTCACCCCACAGGAATAACAGCTCTGATCCCATCGTCTTAACCAATGTTCCCAGGTCCAGGTGTTTGAAGAGTGGTCCTTTCCTTCCCACATCCCTCTAATAACACGCAGACTCCGCCCCTCCAGTGACAGTTGGAGCCCCATCCTCAATTGTAGGAGGTTCACACCCCCATATTAGCATTCCAGGCAGCCCGCACCCAGAGCTTCCACCCCGCCTCCTAGAAACGCCTATCCGAGCCCCGCTGATAGGGGCCGCGTCCAACCTCTCACCTTCGCTAATCTTCCTGCACTCACCTACTGCGATAAACACCTGCTATGGGAACCCCCAAGGCCCCGCCCTCTGGAGCTCCCTCCGAGCCCCACCTCTCCACTCACACCGTGGGCTCAGGGCTGGAGTAACTAAGGACCCAGGCCTGGCGGCCACCTCAAGAGCGACCCCCACCCCGACCTTATCCCGCGGGCGGCCCCGCCCCCGTCACG